ATCATGTGAGGTGGGGAGGTGGAATTTTCTACTCATGGTAAAAAGCTTGCCTGAAAAAAGCAAAAAGTTTTGGGTTTCAGGGAAACTATAAATTCTACATTTTTAGAATAGGGATGTTCAACCTATTTAAGTAATAAGACAGGATTAGGAGCCTCTCTCTCCATATACATACTTATCTGTCTATTTATCTATCTATCTATCTACATGGTTCACAAATTAAATTATATGCCATATAATATATATATATATAATTTAATTTGTGAACCATTTATTGTAATTATGTTGTATACTTTTCTGTTTTTTTCTCCTGTGTATGTGTGTGTGTTTATGTGTGTTCATGTATGTGAATACGTGTCTTCATGTTGACAGTTGTTTTTGTCTCCATGTTGTTCATTCAAGTAGGATCTCTCAACTGAAGCCAGGGGTTACCCATTCAGTGAATTTGTCTTAACCAGTTTGTCCTGGGGATTCCCTGTCTCAGTCTGCAGAATGCTAGAATTACAGGTGGACAATAATCCCTACCATAAATATTCTCATGGGTTCTGAGATTCTAATTCTGGTCTTTGGGCTTTTGTTGCAAGTACTTTGACTCTGTTATCTCCCCAGCCCAGTACTCTAGTTTTCAATAGATAGTTTGAAAATACCAGTTTTGACATATATCAGTTATTCTGCATGTTTTGGGGGGCATTTATTTTATATTTTTAAAATAATACTATTTTATTTGCCAGGCACTAGTGGCACACACCTTTAATCTAAGCACTGGGGAGGCAGAGGCAGGTGGATTTCTGAGTTTGAGGCCAGCCTGGTCTATGGAGTGTTCCAGGACAGCCAGAGCTACACAGAGAAACCCTGTACAGCCAATAAAATAATATTATTTGTACATATTTACAGTGCATCTTTTGTTTTCTAAGTTTCTATTTGGGGGAGGGAGTAGAAGAGGAATTATAGACCTCTTGTTTATATAGTACCAGCTGCCGGAAATGGATAAGTTTTACTTACTTTGTGTGATCTGCCTTGCCTAAATATAAGAAGAGTTATATTTGCAAATTAAACTAGCTATACATATGTAGAATTTAAAAATCTTTGTTTTAGCTGTGAATCCTTTTCACTTGCTACTGATAAAAAAAATCATCGATGTCTGAGAGAATCCAGATTCCAGAGTCTTGCTATAAATCTGCAAGTCTGAAAACCTGAGGACCATAGAAAGAGTACAAAAGCAAGTAGCAGCCTGACTCTTGTCAGTGATTGACTTATTAGATTGTTAAGTGTGACAGGCTTCTTGTGAAGAATGTCATTATTGCTCAGGGAGGCAAACCTGTTTGCACAGGATTTTTGTAAGCTGAAAGGCAATTCTAATAAAAAACAACTAGTAGCAGCTTCCCCCACCACTGCAGATAGTGTTTGGCACCTACATGTCGCTAACAATTGTTGAAGAGGTGAGTGAGCAAAGGTAGGGAGTGGTATGCAGTCACATGGGATTTGAGGACAATGAAAAATAGTTTGCTCACTATATTGCTTCACCTGGGACAGAATTTCTGATAGCTATTTAGAGCTTTCATTGTGAGACCTGATAATTTGGTTTATTCTGTTGGGTTGTTTATTACTATTAGTGCGTATGTGTATACTTGCTCATCTATGTGTATATGTGTTCATTCGTACAAGGGTTGATGTTAGGTGTCATAATCTCTCTCCAGCTTATATTTTCGATGATACCTTAATATTGTTTTTCTTTTATGTGAGTGTCTTGTCTACATGCATGTCTGTGCATGAGGATATTATCTACCTAGTAACCGTAAGATAAAACTAAGTAAGATTAGAAAATGCTTTACAGGCCCAGCGTTGGTGGCGCACACCTTTAATCCCAGAGATTGGGAAGCAGAGGCAGGTGGATCTCTGTGAGTTCAAGGCCAGCCTGGTCTACAAGAGCTAGTTCCAGGACAGGCTCCAAAGCTACAGAGAAACCCTGTCTCAACCAAAGGGAAAAAACAAACAAAAAGAGATAAAATGCTTTAGGGTCCAGGGAAATGACTCAATCAGTAAAAACTTGCTGAGTTCAATCCTCAGAACTCAAAACTTGGTGCAGCATCTTGTACTTGTAACCTAATATTGGAGACGGGGACATGGGCATGTCCCTGAGGCTTACTGGCCAGCCAGCCTAGCCTACTTGGTGAGTTCCAACCAGTGAGACTCTGTCTCAAAAAAAAAACACAGTCCCTGAAAACTGACACAAGGTTGTCTTCTGTTCTAAACACACACATGTACATATATATGTAAATTCCTCCCATATATACATATATATATACACAAAATAGCAAAAATGAAAGTGTTCTAGATTTCTTAGATGAATTTTGTATTTATGAAAGTTTATTGACATCTGCTCTTTTATTTATTGAACTAAATTACATGAGTGTTTGCATATCAGTATTTTATAATATTTTACCTTCACCTGGGAGGAAAATATACCATCCAATTTTTATTGCCTAAATTTTGCAAGTCATACAGAACAGATGAGGAATTTTTCAAAATTATATAATTGAAGAAAAGCTGGATTTAATGAAGGATATGGAACAACCTAATAATAGACTTTCTTCAGGAAGTCACTATTCCAGGAGCTTATTTGTATTGAAAACACTGGTTATTATTTTAAGGATTAACTTCCAATGTTCCTGTCAAGGCAACTTTCATTTATGTCTGATCTTAATGAACAATAACACTCGTGGAAATTTACAAAAGAAAAAGGTCTATATATTGCAAGATACATAACACATACTAGTTGTAGGCATTTTGGACAGATTGGGTAGGACAGGTACTCTGGCACTTGGGGGTCACAGTCCACAGCTCAGGTGGAAAGGTATCCTGGAACTCGGGAGCCAAGGACCACCACAGGTTGTAGTAAGTTTAGCAGCTTACAGCCCTGTCTCAGGGAAAGGCTTCCACAGTGTATAGGCTCTGCTCCAGCAGGAGAGGGGCTTCCAGCTGGGGATGTTTGCCCAGTGTAGCAGTTTTGCTTTGGCAGGAGAAGGTTTCCAGGGCGAAGTTGTTACAGTTCAGCTCTGCTCCCAGGAGTGGAGAGCTGCTCTGCCAGGGGAAGGTTTCCCTGGCTCTGCTCGCTCTGCTCTGACCCTCTGCCCAGGGTCGTCTCTGCTCCGCTGCAAAAGAAGGTCTTCACCCAAAGCTCGTTGAAGGGGTTTATTGGGAGGGAAGAATCCAGGAGAGTGGCTGCCCCCTGACAGAGTGGCAGAGGATGGCCTGGCAGCACAAACAGACACAAGCTGAACAGACACAGGGTTTATATAGGGCTTCCAGGGTGGGGATTGGTCAGATTTCAATCTCCTGCTCTTACACAGGGTTAGGATCAGATTTGGCTCTGGTTTCAGGGCTAAAGTGGGTTTCTTTCTCTGGTCCTTTGTAGCCTTTTGGCTCTAGTTTTAGGGCCAGGGTGTATTTCTTTCACTGACTCAGATTCCAGGGACAAAGTGTGTTTCTTTGGCACTGGTTTCAGGGTCAGTGCATTTCTTTGGTCTGGTTGCAGGGACAAAGTGTGTTTCTTTGGCTCTGCTCAGGGTGTGTTTCTTTGGCTGGCCCTTTTTCCCTACACTAGTGACAAAATGTTATATCCTTGAATGTCTGAAATACTCATAAAAGCAGTAATAAAACACTGACACAAATAACAGAAATAATTGATATATTTTTTCTTTGTTTTTGTGAAGCAGGGTCTCAGTATGTAGTCCTGCCTGGCCTGGAACTTGATATGTAGACCAGGCTAGACTTGAACCTGAGTGCTGGGATTAAATAAAGGCATGCCCCACCACAACTTGCCAGACATACATTTTTAAAGAAATTGAACAAAAGCTGTTTTATATATTTTAAAAATGTATTCATTCATTATTGTATGTGTATACATGTATTCTGTGTGTGTGTGTTGTGTGTTGTGTGTGTGTGTGTTACAGACACAGACACCATCGAGCACACAGGACACCTTTGTGGACTTAGTTCTCTGCTTCTACCTTTATATGGGCTCCAAGGATGGAACTTGGGTCATTAGGCTTCCTTTACCCTCTGAACTGTCTTACCTATACCAGAAATCTTTTTGCTTAAATGTGCCATGACCGTTAGAATTGTACATATTCTTTGATTCAGTAGTTACCTTTCAGGTAGCCTATCCTAGGAGAACTTTTCTTTGGTCAAATAAATATAAATTTAAAAAGCTAATTTCAGTTGGATCGATGTTACAGGACTGTAATCCCAGCTATTGGGAAAGCTGAGGCAGAGAGATTGCAAGCTCAAGACCTTTCTGGGCTGTAGACTGAGTTCTTTTCCAGTCTGTGCAACTTAGTGAACTCCATCCTTAAAATAAAAATATCAAAAGGCAACCAGGGATATAACTCAGTTATCGAATGTTTGTTGGCCTGTGTGAATCTCTAGGTTCAATTACTTATACTACTGCCACACAATACACACACACACACACACAAAGAGGAGAGGAGAAGAATCATTTAAGAGGGCAGTGTTAGTGCAAGCTTTTAATCCCAGCATTTGGAGGCAGAGGCAGGCGGATCTCTGTGAGTTGGAGACCAGCCTGGTCTACAAGAAGTAGTTCCAGGACAGGCTCCAAAGCCACAGAGAAACCCTGTCTCGTAAAACTTAAAAAAGAATCATTTAAGAGGACCTTGAGCTCTGACTGTCTACTTTGTGTTCTTTTTTATCTGGCCTGAAATGGCTCACATTTTTCTTTAATAGTAGTACTAACTGCCATGTATTTACTGGTTTTTTTATATGTGTTAAGTTTTCTGTATGGGTTGTCATATAATCCTTACAGTAACTGAGCCATCTTTCCAGCCCTTAGTATATTTCTTTATAGGGTAAAGGCTTTAAAAAAATAATTACAGTGCCCTCATACTGCAAAAGACATTTGTCACAAATATCATAAGTGAGTTTTGTTAGTGTCTTCAAATTGCGTGGGTTCTGGGATTCCTGATGTGATTCCTCTTGTTTTGAAGGTGGAACCTTACTTCTTGTGGAACAAGCGTGGCCAGCTCAGAATGTAGTGAGGAGCTGTTTTCATCAGTTTCTGTTGGAGATCAAGATGACTGCTATTCCCTGTTAGACGATCAGGACTTCACTTCTTTTGACCTCTTCCCTGAGGGAAGTGTCTGCAGCGATGTCTCCTCCTCTATCAGCACTTACTGGGATTGGTCAGATAGTGAATTTGAGTGGCAGGTAAGTTGTTTTTTTCCTCTTTTGTTCTTTTGGTTTTTCGAGACAGGGTTTGTCAGTGTAGCCTTGGCTGTCCAGGAACTTGCTCAGGTTTTACTATGGAAATGTATTTCTCCCTATGTCATAATTGATAGCATTTATGTGCTTAGAAGACACATGTCAGATTATGTTAACTATCAAATATGGTAAACCATTTTATCATAGGCATGTAGTTTTTGGTTCTCTTATCAGAAGTATACTGTAGTTTATCATTTGGTATTCTTTTTGTGTGTAGATGTTTTTCTATCCACAATAATTTTTTCTTCTTATGGCGTATGTAATATGTAAATGTCTTTGTGGCAAGTTGTTTAAAAATACTGCATGATAGTGAGTGTGATATATCAGAAAATATATGTTGCTTTAACGGAGCATCCATTTTATGATTGTAAAAACATGACATTAAAAAAGGTTACATATACTGCATGTTTTATTCAACAGATAATCTTGAATCCTTGCTACTTTAAAAGTCACCTGAATACGTAAGCTTGTATTTTTAAAAAGGGTTCAGTTATTATTTGAGTTAAAACTACTTTTATTGAACTATTAAATAAGACAGGGAGGTATAAATTAAAAGTCCCAAAAAGTCTTCTGGTTACCACTGTGAAGAGCTTTTACAGGTACGGGTGTATATTGATAAATGCATAGTATGTGTGTTCATATATAAATATTTCATTCAATATTTGTCTTTATGAGTTTTTTCAGATAATGGAGTATCTCATTCTTTTTCAGAGCTGTATCCATTATGTTTTCTAGTTGGCTTCAGTTTTGTTTATATATGTGAACTAAGGTTTTTTTATGTGTGTAAACATATATATGTGTATATGTTATATATACACCAAACTAAGAGGTTTTAAAGTGGAAAAATAATTCACCACCCCATTTTTGTTTTTATGTTATTTCAGCTTCTGTTGCATATAGGGATGCAAATATACTTCAGATAAAAGTTTAGTATTTTACCTTTAAAAATGATAGAATTCACCATTTAAGTAATTTAAAAACATATGCTTTTATGCTCTTTAATATACTCACAATGTTCTGTAGGCATCACTGCTAACTCCAGGGTATTTCTGTAACCACCACCACCACCCCCCAGACACACACAAAAGAAATATATATCTGTTATGCACAGAGATTCACTTTCTCTCTGCCTTTGTCATCTGGCAAATGCCAATCTATTCTATAGATTTGTCTCTAAAATGTCTATTATTTTTAGTGTGTGTGTACACACCCACGCACCACAACATGCACGTGGAGGTCAGAGGACAACTTAAGAATGGGGTCTTTCCTTCCATGTGTACATTCCAGAGATCAAACCTGGGTTATGAGGCTGCAGTGTAAGTTCCTTGATGCTCTAAGCTATCCTGCTGACCTTGAATTTGCCTTTCTTTTTTAATAAATGGACTTACACACTTGTATATGGCTGTTGTGTCAAGCTTCTTATCTATTTTGCTGTTTTTAAGGTTGAACCATATTGTAGCATGTAACAGTATTTTATTCCTTTCTGTGGCTGATTTCAATTTCTCCATCTTGGTCCAAATTGATGTTTATCTTTTTTATTCCAGCCATCATAGGGAGTGTGAAGGGGTGTCATATTGTGATTTTATTTTACATCTCTCTGATGACTAATGTTGAGCATCTTTTCATTACTTACATCATTTTTATACCTTCTTTAAAAAAATACCTTTTGAAATCCTTTGCCCATGTTTAATATTATCTGATTAATTTATAAACTCTTTTTTATGTTTTTTCTTACTAAATATACAATTTATGAAATTTCCCCATTTGTAGATTGTGTTTTCACTTGAAGTGCATTTCACTTTAATAATGCCCTTTGATAAAATGTATTTAGACAGAATCTTGCTACCTAGCAGAGGCTAGCCTTCATCACAGGAACCTCCTAACTCAGTGCTAATCTTTCAGGCTTCTACTATCATGTACAGCAAATGAATTTTAATTTAGATAAGGCCCTGTGCATGTATTTTTCTTTATTGTGCTTATGATGTTGTATTAATTGTTTTACACAAGATAAGGAAGATTACCTGTTCCTTCTTAGAGTTTTAGAGATTTAGTTCTTATATGTAGGCCTTTGATGTCCTTTGATTTTTTTTTTTTACATATGTTCTAAACCACACAAAATCACCTGGTATGATGCCATACCCCTATATTGGCACACTTGGGAGACTGAAGCAGGAGGAACAAGGCAGCCTGGTCTACATATTGAGAACTCCATGTAGCCTGACATAGTTTGAGATCCTCTCTCCTAAGAATCATCAGCCATCAAAGTTACACAAGATCTTACCTCTAGTGAGCAGTGGGACTACGTTTTGTGTTCTAGGCTGTTTTAACTTCTCCCTAAAAAAATGGCCAAACTACTATTCATTGCTTTTCTCTACCTGCTTATCATATAGTCTGACCCCAAACAGATAGTCTCCAAAGATTAAAAGAAAAATTTCCAAAATTTGAAAGGATAGGTATTTTTATATTTTTTAGGTTTATTTAGTTGATGTTTATTAGTGTTTTGTCTGCATGTAAGTCTGTGCCCCATGTACATGCCTGATGCCTGTGGAAATCAGAAGAAAGCATCAGATTTCCTGGAACTGGAGTTACAGATGGTTGTGAACCACCACGTGGGTGCCAGGAATCCAATCCAGGTCCTCTGCAAGAGCAGCAAGTACCTTTAATAACCAAGCCAAGCTGTCCCTCCAGCCCAAGTATAGGGTGTGTGTGTGTGTGTGTGTGTAATACTATCCTCATCTTTTGAGATACTGTCTCTAATTGACCTGAAGCTCATCAGTTAAGCTAGTCTGACTGGCCAGTGATCCCCAAGGATCTTCCTGTCTGTGTTGGTACATCCATCATGTGCTGCATTGTGCAATTGTATATGTATTGCATTACCTTCCTGAGTATAAAATTTTCATGAGATGAACATGAGTTCCACTCTGTTGAATCCCCTATACGTATCATAGTGCCATATATGTATTAGACTTTCAATACATATGAAAGCAATAATACTTTTTATTTCTAAAGTTCTGATCTTTTGGAAAATTTTAAGGCCTAGAAATCATCTAGAGTCAAATATAGTTGCAAACTCTAGAGACCCCAAAACCAATAAAAATTGATGTAGCTTTGTAATCATGAAAATAATTTAAGAATTGCTAAGAAAGCAAAACGTTTTACCTATTTTTTATTAGTATACTAAAATACTAAGTTAATTTTAGAGGATATTTATGTGCTAATCACATTGATATGACATGTTTTTGTTTCATGTTTATGTACATGTTCAAATATGCTAAATTATACACTGCTTAGTTTTCATTTATCAAGTATACATTAATAAAACTAACTCACTCTTTAGAGGCAATATATTGTTGATATTTATCTTGCTTAAATGGATTTGATTTGAGTTTTCTGTATTTTGGGTTTAGTTTTATTTCTCCTTTGTCTACACATTGTCTTCTATTTTCTTATTTTCTAATGCTTCTGTTCTTGAGTTTTTGCTTTATATCAACAGCATATTTTAAATTACTTTAGTTGTTCTTACGCTGTTACTATGCACTTGAGGAGAAGAATTCATGGCATCACGTGTCTTGAATAAAGCCAGTTAGTGGCAAATCACTCAGGGCTCCTGTGATAGCTCAGTACTGCTTACTCATGTGTTTTATGGGCTCTGATAATATTGTGGCTATAAGTGAAAAACTTTAGTGACTATTGAAACTTAAATTAGCATTTTAGTAACTCTTATTTATGGTTTGGAAAGTGCATTTTCATGAGGTATCTTCACAGGGTATTTTCTGACATCAGTCCTTTTGTATAAACTAGGTATGGTTCTATGTTAATCTACCTGGAAAATACTGATTGTATATTTACCCTTTGTCTTGTATTGAAGTAAATTTTATTTTTTGTTTTGGCCACATGATCTTCTATAACCTAGGGTGGCCTGAGACTGGCTATTTAGCCCTGGCTGTCCTTAGACTACTGATTGTCCCCTCTCTACTTCCTGAGTATGGGGATTACAGACATGTATAATCAACTGTGCCTGGCTGAAGTAACTTTTTAATTGATCTATAAAATGTGCTACCATATTTAAAATGTACCCTTCAGTTTTTGCTTTCCGTAACCCCTGTACTTCTTTTCTAAAGTTACCAGGCAGTGACATTGCCAGTGGAAGTGATGTACTTTCTGACGTCATACCCAGTATTCCAAGTTCACCTTGCCTGCTTCCTAAAAAGAAAAACAAGCACCGGAATCTAGATGAACTTGCTTGGAGTGCAATGACAAATGATGAGCAGGTAAATATGTTGACATTCTTAATTAAAAGTATATGTCGAAAGAAACATGTGGAGAGGAGGTGAAACCTTTAATTGCTACCTCTTTATAGCCACTGAATTATATAAATTGCCCAATAAGTCTGAAATTACTGGGTATTGGTGACACACACCTTTAATCCCAGCACTTTGGAGGCAGAGGCAGGTGGAGCTCTGTGAGTTCAAGGCCAGCCTGGTCTACAAGAATTAGTTCCAGGGACAACTAGGTCTATACAGAGAAACCCTTCCTCAGATAAGTCTGAAATTGAGTTTTAACTTTTTTCCAGGAAACAAATGAATTAACGATATCTTAGCAATGATCCTAAGAAACAATCAGCTTTTTTATTCAGACGGTGGTTAGTTCTTTATTGGAGCCTTGGACAAAATAATTCTTCTACTGTCTAAAACGTGCCATAATTCACATAGTAAAGGTCAGATAATAACATTGATATTGTTTGTTGTAATTTTTTTCTTCACATAGGTGGAATATATTGAGTATCTGAGCCGTAAAGTCAGTACTGAGATGGGCCTTCGGGAGCAACTTGATATTATTAAAATCATTGATCCTTCTGCACAGATCTCCCCTACTGACAGTGAGTTCATTATTGAACTTAACTGTCTCACAGATGAAAAACTGAAGCAGGTATGTAAAAAAAATAGATTGCTTATCTATTGAAGATGCCGTCGTCTTATAAAATGTAGGCATATGTAATCATATGCCAGAATCACTGCTGGGAGATGTCACATTTGAAAAAAATTGATGCTGAGCTAAGAGTCGTAGCTCAGTGGTGGAGTGTAACATGCACAGAGCCCTGAATTCAATCCTCAATACTGCAAAGAAAAAGAAAAAAAAGACAGTAATATTTGAGAGCATATGAGTTTTTTAAACTTTTTTTTTAAAAGATGTATTTATTGTGTACACAGTATTCTACCTGCATGTATGCCTGCAGGCCAGAAGAGGGCGCCCAAATCTCATTATAGATGGTTGTGAGCCACCATGTGGTTTCTAGAAATTGAACTCAGGACCCCTGGAAGAGCAGTCACTGTTCTTAACCCCTGAGTCATCTCTCCAGCTTGAGAGCATATGGTTTTAGGATGTTTTCTGTATTTCACATAGAAATACCTTTCTGGTCAGTGAAGATCTAGAACCTGCTTTGAGTTATATAGGTCTTAATTTATTTCACCGCTTCAAGGATATTTGGACTAAGGTACAGATTTGTGCTATCCCAGTTTACAGCAGATGAATTATCTCACTCAAAATACTAATTAAAACCTGAAGTAGTGGCACATGACTGTAATCCTACCATTTGGGATGAAGTGCATGTCTCAAAGCCAAAACAAAACCTGAAACCTCAAGTCCTACTTAACAGGAGTTGCACATGGGCAGGCGTCTGTACCAAGGGTTTGAGTATTCTTGTGGAATGACAACCTGTGCAGAGTGAAATTTAAGGACGGATCCCTTCCAAATAACATTTTTCTGTACCTTTTCTCTGATGCATGCTTTAATAGAAAGGTTTTTAATTCTCTACTTCTGGAGTCATGCATTTAGCATTTGTGAAAAAAAAATCTCTCATTTCTCACAACAGAGAATATTTTTCCACATTCCAGCTAGTTGCCTTAGTATGGTAAGTTGATGTGTTGCATTTAAAATCATACCCTGGTCCCCCTCACTAAAATTTGGGGGGAAATGCACACTAGTCAGAGATGGAACCTTTAATGTAAGTAACTCATCTTTAGTGGAACTCTTTTAAAATGTATAACCACATTTGTTTTATTTTGTTGTTTCTGTGTTCTTTTCTTAAAATTCAAATTCTGAAGGCCAATAGGATTTGATTTGCTAAGTAATTTTTGTATTTTTAAAATATAGGTCTATGTGTTTGCTAGAGTTTTGGTCCCCCTTCCTCTCATCTCCCCTTCCTTTCCTTGGTACTATTCCTCTCCTGCCCCTCTCTTGATTATTGTTTTGAAAACAGTTTCAATTTATAGTCCAGACTGGCCTAGAATGTAATGTTAAGCTCAAGCCTCAGTCTTCCAAGTGCTAGAATTAATGCACCTGTCTTGGTACTTATTTCCATGCCTAGCTATTTCTTACGACCTTCTCCTCCACCCCTTTTATCCACCCGAAGCACTTTGGGCATTTTTCAGGTTAAGCACACCATGATTTTTTTTTCTCCAGCGTCTTGAGGGCGGAATATCAAGGCGCGATACTTACCAGTGCTTGTCCATGTGTCCTAAGGTCAGAAACTATATCAAGGAGCATAGCCCTCGTCAGCGGCCTACAAGGGAGGCCTGGAAGAGAAGCAACTTTAGCTGTGCAAGCACCAGTGGAGTGAGCGGTGCCAGTGCCAGCGCCAGCAGCAGCAGCGCCAGCATGGTCAGTTCTGCAAGCAGCAGTGGGTCCAGTGTTGGAAACTCTGCTTCAAACTCCAGTGCCAACATGAGTCGAGCACACAGTGACAGCAACCTGTCTGCAAGTGCAGCAGAGCGGATTCGGGATTCAAAAGTAAAATGTCTAATCAGTAATACAAAACTTTACCTCTCAATATTAACATTAGTGCGCTTTCATTTCTCTCTCTTGCAAACTAAAAATTGCCCCACTCTCTGGATGCCTGTGGGCTTTGGTTTTGACTAAACAAGCAGAATGTTCTGCCTTTGAGGAAAGCACTCTGGGCCGCGTGCTTTCAAATACTCTTAACCCACAGCCATGGGGTTAAGAGCCACTTTTCAATATTCTCTGGCTCTTATGTTCATTTTCAGTAGGAAATACCAGAACTAAGAAAATAATAGTTGATTCTCAAGATTGCAGCTCACTACTGAGCGGACCTCACTATGTTGCTATTGTTGCTGTCCATTAGCTCCTAAAACTGTTGTGTATGCTTTTGGTATGAGTATGTGCATGGTGTGTGTTTTCATTGTTTTCTTGATGTTTTAACCTTAACTGGTCCTTGACTAATTAAAAAGTATAACAATGCTTTTCGTAATCCAGTTCTATTTCTCCATTGTTGAAACTTAGTGTTGGGCACTTGTGAAAGAATGGCTATGGGGTTCAGCATGGGCGTGTGAATGCTTCCCTGCAGCGGCACCGAGTAGAGCCAATTTAAAGATGCAAAGAGAATCTCTTTGACTCTCTGGAAACCCAGTTGTGGTGATCAGAAGATACACAGTGACTCCTTCCCCATTTTGTTTTGTTTTGTTTGTTTTGCTTTGGTTTTGTCAAAGTTGAAGAAACGGCCATCTTTGATGGATACCAAGGGATTTCCCTGGATATGTAGTCATTCTCTTGGTGCTAGTTTACCAGTGATGAGGGCGAAGTGTCCACTGGATTCCTATAGGCTTCTTTTGTTTTGTTTTTCGAGACATGGTTTCTCTGTATTGTTTTGGAGGGTGTCCTGGAACTCACTCTGTAGACCAGGCTGGCCTCGAACTCACAGAGATCCGCCTGCCTCTGCCTCCCGAGTGCTGGGTCCTATAGGCTTTTAAGATACCATTTGCCTGATATTAGCAAGGCGTGATTCTTTCATAGCCATTGGAAAGTTTTTAGTAACTCTGGGGTAAAGTGTACCTTGAAAGCATAAGCATTAGGGATTTGAACCATGTTTTCTGCATTTTATATTCAGTTTTGTGCTCTAGTATGTTATTTTTGCTGTGTTGATACCTTTATACCTTAATTTGATTTTTAAAAATAGAATTCTTCACAGTATGTTATTATCCATACCTAACCTTTGATAAATGATCGAGTATCAACCCTTCCTAGCCAAAGAGTTACTAGTAAAATGCCATAAAATTAGAAACTTTTTTTATATGTAAGCCATAGGATTACTTGTTGGTGTAAGAATCACTCTGGGGAGAAACATGAATGACTCCTGAAATTTAGAAAATAGGGAATTTGAGCCATAAAACCCTGGGTTGCCTATAGCAACATCTAAACCTTACTGACTTTACATTTTTCACTTTGACAGAAGCGATCCAAGCAACGAAAGTTACAGCAGAAGGCCTTTCGCAAGAGGCAGCTGAAGGAGCAGAGGCAGGCCCGGAAGGAGCGGCTTAGTGGGCTCTTCCTTAATGAAGAGGTGCTGTCCTTGAAAGTGACTGAGGAAGACCATGAAGCAGATGTTGATGTTTTAATGTAATAGGGTGGATTTATTGGCATCCTTTCTAAGCATTATTCTGTCCCCATTGGTTTACATGCATCATGACCAAAAGTTTGGTTTTAGGGTTGTGCTGATGTACCTACCATTCATAATTTAGGCCAGTGTTTCTCAGAGGGTAGTCCTAGTACCTGCAGCTTCAGCATCACCTGAAAAGATGTTAGAATTGCATCTGAGGCCCATTGCAGACCCACAGGCAGTATGGATTTGGGGTAGCACTGTGTTTTAACCAATGCCAGCTTATTCTCATGCATATTATGATTTAAGAACCACTGGTAAATGTCTTAACTACTTTAACTTTATGATGATTAAGTGGGCTTTTCAAAGACTAGTACATATACAATTGGGGGAATTTCAAAGTACCAATGACAATTAGTTTATTTTGTCACTATATGGGTAGAGTCCGTAATTCAGTTCCCTTTTTTTTTTCTTCAAGACAGGGTTTCTCTGTATTGTTTTGGAGCCTGTCTTGGAACTCGCTCTGTAGACCAGGCTGGCCTTGAACTCACAGAGATCCGCCTGCCTCTGCTTCCCAAGCACTGGGATTAAAGGTATGCGCCACCACCGCCTGGCTTAGTTCCCTTCTTAATGAAAAGATTTGTTAGTTTACTTTTTCAAGAGGGCCAATTATTAGTTCCTAGGGGCAAATATTTTTTGAGGTGAGGGTGCACATAAGGTATGCATTGCTGTTTACAATAGTGCCTTCATTAGGTTTAGTTCCGTTTTCATTAAGTATTAATGCAAAGGTATAAGAAAAGGCCCTAATCCTTTCAAATTAGATGTGGGTTTTTTTGTCTTTCTATACTTTATGTCAAGTGAAAATCATTTCTGGAAGTAATAACTACTAAAAAAATAATGCTACACTAGCACAATTTTAGACTTAGTGCTGTGCTGATTAAATTTTCAAATGGAGATTACAACTAAGCATTGGTACCAATCAAACTTTCCCAATGCATCCTTACATTTTAGACTGCCAGATAATCTCCAGGCTAGATAATTTATGTTTCTCTCTATCAAAAACACTTTTAATGCAGCACATCTTTAATTTTAATAGCTTATAGGCATTGGAACAGGTTAATGTTCCAAATTAACTGACAGACCACTTAGTGTTCTACCAAACTTCAGAAACTGCTTTGACTATGCAAAGCAGTGGAGTAAAGAAAACACCTTTGTGGGTTTCTAATAGGACTTGAAGTCTAAATGGGAAATCATGGAGTTTCTTGAATGTTTTCCAAGAATTCATTATCATGAACTTAGAAATAGTTTGATTCCTTTTCTTCTGTGTCTTTGAGCATTCACATGAGCTAGAGAAGACAGAAACCGGGACTACTGACAATCAACTTGCTTTCTGACTTTCATTTTATTATAGCATTTAGAAGGCAAACTGATTGTATATTCAGTATTTTGAAAAGACTACAGAGTTCAGAGGTTAATAGGTTTTAAACAGTGTTTAGCTTTATTTCTTCAAAAAGATTAGCAACTTAAATTTCTTCATGCTCAGTTGGTATAAAGGCTTAAATTTTACTAAATTAAAAGTGAAAATTTAATCCTGATATGATGGTACATACCATTAATCCTAGCATTCAGGAAGCTGAGGTGGGGATTGCAAGTTCAGAGCTAGCATGGCTACATAGTGCTACTAATATTTTGTATACATTGAAATTTTTTATTTTATTTTGCTTCTTTGAAGGCTAAAGAATTGAAACTGAGGGTAAAAATTAGTATCTTGCAGCATGGCTGAGGTCTGTGGTCTGGCTGTAATTTTTGAATGCCTACTAAGGTCAGAATTTAGAATTCTACTAAAGTAAAAGCATGACTAAGTGTGCTTTCAGTTCAAGTAGTATTTCTGATTTTCCTCCTACCTCCTTTGGTACTCCAGTCTGGTTTAGAGGGACCAAAGAGATCCTAGGGTCAGACCTCAGAATACTTGATGAAAGGCGTACTCTGTTTTCCCTTCGAAGCACAGAAATAGAACACAGAGAAGAGAAGCAAATACATCTAAACTCTCTGCCTTCCCTAAGCGGTAGCAAAATCCCACAGAGAAAGTATCCACATGCTCTTCCTATTCTCCACGGAAGATGGGTAGCAATGAGATACAGAGCAATGTTTATCACAATTTGTTGATGCTCCGTAGAAGGAAATCCAAAATCAGTTCAGGATATAATTTAAGCCCAATTCCTCTGTGCTCCCCCAAATCATGAAGTCTTAACTTAGATTTAACTTAAGTCACTATTGAATAAGTTTACCAAAGTGCCATTGGCAGATTTTTAATGTCTATAAAGATTTGAGTATTTGTAGAAATGTGTCCTGAAATTTTGTTAAGTCCAGATTCACTTAGAACCAGAATGTAAAGTCTATTTGGAAGAGATGGAAAATACTACTTTGATTTAAAAGAAAAAAAAATGGAACTACTGGACTTGTTTATGGTCTAAGAGATAGAGATTAAAATCTCTTTCCCTCCAAAATAGAAACAATAACAAAAAGACAAAAGTCTCTTCTGTCTTTGTCAATGTGTTGTGGTCTGTTATCTGTTAGGATGTTTCATGTAGATAATTTCAGAGATAATTGTTGAAATAGATGGTAATTTATTAAATCTGGTATCTCTGTGAGGTATATTTTAAAAAAAACTCAAGTCAGTTACCTTTTTTTCCCTTTTCACTGGAAAGCCTACTTAATCAGTCAATGTAAATGAAAATCAGGGACATGCAAATCAAAACTGTTAAGATTCTGTCTTACTCCAGTCACAATGGCTGTCGTCAGGGAAACCAAAAGCAAATACTGGTGAGAATAGGGTGTGGGAAGGAATCTGTATATACTGCTGCTGCTAATATAAACTGGCTGTACCAGTATAAATCAATATGGAAGTTCTTTAAAAAAACTAGAAATGGAACTAATTATTATCCACCTACCTAGGTATATGCTCAAAATAAGTGAACTCAACATATGATAGGAACACTTGTGTTTCCGTGTTTATCATAGTAATGTTTCCAATAGCAGGTGAATAAAGAAAATGACATATGCACAGAGTATAATTGTATTCAGCCAGAAAGAAAATGGATGGAACTAGATAGAGATCATCATGTTAAACAAAGCAAACCAGGCTCAGACAAACATTGCAGTTTTCTTTTACATGTGGAATCTAGATTTAATAAAATGTATCTCATGTGATTAGAAGGGGTACTATTTGAGAAGAGGAAAGGCTCTAGTGAAAAAGGAAATGGGGGGACAAAAGATGGTGGGTGAATAAGATCAAAGTAGATTATAAATATGTATGGATAAATAAGTGAATGCATGAGAAGTCCAGAAATTTGCTCCAGTGTTCGTCCAAAACAGTGGAGTAAGTCTCCTCTTCACAGATTTATCCAGAGACTTTTTATTAGAGATCTTGGAAGAGGATATCAGTCCTTACTACAGCTTTTAAAAGTGTGAGCAGTAAGTTAAGCAAAATGGCATGTATTTTTATACAGTTTTGCAAATGATTAAAGGAAGGCAGTGTTCTAGAATGTAGTAGGTTGTAAAGGGCTAGTTCATTCTATCTTACCAAGAACTTAGAGTAAAGTGATACTTTTTCTTCATTCTTCAATAGATAGTGGCAGTTTTGTTGAGTTCCTCTGTTTTGGAGTAAGCTAGATATTGCTGAATCAAATCCTAGAAGCCAGCTTATAAAATTGTGACCTATAGTGTGCATAGACATCTCATTTTTTTATCTTTTAAAAGTGATAAATTCCCTTAAAAGAAAAAAATATAAGAAACTATTGTATAAAGGTATCCAGATTCTGATGAGCTTTAAAAATGTAAAATTTATTGTATATCTTCATATTTAAGCCAAAAATGTTATTACATAAACTCTATAGAAGTCTTGTTTGTTTTTGGTTCTCTTAGCAGACTTTTTTTCATGGCTTCTCTGTAGCCTCATGTGCCTTAAAGGTGGTGAACTTCGTAATTTTCATCAATATCAGGCTTTTCCAAACTCAGATAATTTGGTTCATATAATGCTCATGGTGTTTGGATATTAGCAAGCAAAACCAATCAGTAGTAATAGAATATAAAATGAAATAAAAACCTTCAGATCTTAGACTCATTTGCTTAAAATTAGTTTTAATCCACCAGATTATTGAAGAGCTTTGCATTCATGTAAAGTTTTGGTTAATGTATTATTTTTTTCCACTGGAAAAAAAGTCTGAGGCCAGGATACTTATTTCCTTTATCTGAGACAGGGTCTCCCTGTATACTTCAGGCTAGCCTTGAACTTGCTATGTTGTTCAGGCTGGTCTGGAACTTGTGATTCTTTCCCCTTAGCTTCCCTGATATTTGGACCCTAGACAGGTCTGGGGAGTATACTTTTTTAAGCTAGGTCACATGTATCATAAAACATGATTTTTAGGGTCTAGACAAAATGCTGGAACCAAGATAGCTAGGTGTTTCTTCTGTTAGTTTTAGGGATTCTTTAAATTCATTTGTGTAATTGTCGGGGCACCCTATCCTCTCTCCTTTAACAAATTACCTCTTAGCACTGTGTCTTCAAGAATTCTTCTTTGGAATTGATGGAGGGTGAAATCAGTTTGGCTTAGCTGATAGTATAGTTCTTTTGTGTTCAATAGTAAGGTGGGTGTTGAATGCACTAACAGTCAACATATTTAAGTTAGAGATGATTCCATCTTGAAAGGGTCTATTAGGAAATAAATATTTGAGTAAAAACTCTATTATGGTAACTTTGCAGTAAATTTAAACTTGATGAAGTGAGATGAGTGAACGTTATTAGATGTGTAAGAAGCTGTCTCAGGTACTTTGAGTTAGACATTTATGTCAGTATAGTATTTGGAATACAATCCTTGTAATATTTAAATTTGGTCTTTGAAAAATCATGTACATTCTCTATGAGGCTTAGATGGAACTCTGACAATTTCTCTAACTGGACATTAAGAGTAAAGCAATTGAATAGTTCAAGATCCAAGTTGGCTCACTGCAATTAAATTTTCATTTCTTAAGTACTGAATTTGTTTGCAGCTGCCTGCCCAATTATTTTCTGAATTGAGATTATTGGTGTTTTAATCGAGACCAGACCATGGCAAATTGCATTTTAATTTTATATTCATGCCAAATTTGGAAAAAACAGTGTGGTCTTTGCTGATTTCAATATGTAGTGGTTTTTCTTTGTTGTCAGTTTTCTTCTGTTACATTTTGTGGTAAATGGGACCTGTGGAAATCTGTGTTCTTTTTTGTGGTGATGGATGGAGTGGAAAAGGGAAGAATTGCTTATTTAAGGCATATCCGCTTTGACTATGTCAAGGTAATTATAGAATTAATGCTTACAGATGACAGGTGCACACTTAAGATGCTTAAGATGCTGAATTTTTCAGAACAACCATGGCTTGTTCTGAAGTTGCTTGTTCTTCTAGGCTTTTAGAGAATGGAGCTGATAGTGTCTCTTCCTGTAGTGGGTGAATTTAATTTCCTGTTGGAGTACTATAGTTTAGATAAAATCTTTGTATTGGCAGTTTAATAGGACTGGTATCAAAAAAATTAACAGTAAACACAAGTACATTAAAACATTTCACAGATCATTAAGAATTTCAAATTGTGGGACTCCCCCCACATGTCAGAAATTAGTTGTGTAGCATCAATATCATAACCAAAGTAAGTAGGAAGTTAACTGGTTTGGAGGATCTTCAAGTAGTCTTAAATACTGTAAAGTATCAGATTGTTAACCAGGACTTTTTCTGTATTCCTGCAAAATATATTCTATATTAATGCACTTTTGTATATACGACAGACTTCTGCACGTTCTGTGCTTAATACAGTGTATATAAAACCTGTTTGCTTTTCTCAAAGCCATGTGAGGGGATAACAATAGTTAGAACATATTTGTTTTCTCTTTTGAGTTCCTTCTTGCACATGAAAATATTTTAGCCGTTATGTCTAAGTGAGTATGATTGTAACTGAAGCTGGCCATGTGGCAGGATTGTCTTTAGAACTCAGTATCAGAACGAAAGGAGTCATTTTGTGTGTTAAGACTTGTGGTAATCGTTCTATCTTTTAAAAATCCCACTTGCTGCTTACTTACCACTTTATAATCTAAATCAGCTACTCTCAAAGACCCATCCCTGAGCTTTTGCCACTAACAGAGAATTGTCCTTACTGTTGTTCACAGTTTTATTAGAGTCTATAAACTTGTTTTATGAGAGTCCCAGTCTCCCAAAAGTCAGGAGCAAAACATTTTTTGAAGAGATCAGATTTCTAGAGAGATTATCATTCACACACTAAGTGAAAAGTAGGTCGGTTTTTTTGTTGACAAAAACAATCTATTTTGTTTATATATTGCAGTAGAATCTTTTAAAGTTAAGTTTCCAGAAAAGAAATGTCTATGATCAGTTGTGTGTATAGATCCAAGTGCCATTCTGATTTTGTTTGTTTGTTTGTTTCTGTTTTTGTTTTGTGTGTGTGTAGGTTTTTGGTTTGCTTTTGGTTTTTGATCAACAATGTTATTTCTTGCCACTAGAGGGACTTCTATGTTCTTTTCTGTTTTGGAAAAATCTTAGCTTTTTTTTTTTTCTAAGTTTCACAGATTGGCATAGAGTTATTCTCAGAATGTTTTGTGTTAGTAACTATATTCATTTATTAGTCAAAAGTAGATTAATTAAGATTGTTTAATGAAAAAGGCAGTTTTACTCATGCTGTCTGTAATCTTCCATTTTTAATAAATGTTAGATACTAAGTTAAACCTGTATGTGTGTGTGTTTCTTTCCCAAGGTACTCCATAACTTTACAGTCCTTATGGTAGTCACTAGACATATGTGACAGTGTAAATGAATTGAAATTAACTAAAGTTCAAAATTTGTTCCTTAGTCATGCAGCAATACTTCAGTTCCCAATAGCCACATGTGGCTCTATGCTAATTTTTGTTTGGGAAAACACAGAAACTAAACAATGTTCCACAATGTTGGGGATGGTGGTGCATGCCTTTAATCCTGACATTTGGGTGACAGGCAGGAGGATCTCTTTGAGTGCAAGGACAGGCTGGTCTACAGAGTTCCAGCACAGCCAGGGCTATATAAAGACACTGTCTTGAAAAAAATTAAATGTTCCAGAATCACAGAGAATTCTTATGGAGAGTGCTGCTACAGACATTTGATGGTTTCCCTAGTGGTTGTTCTCATTCTACAACTTAACAATAATTAGTGGCTGCGAACTGCTGCCCACAAAGGTGATAACGATTGACGGCAGAGGGTAAGTGAATTGCATTTTGTTTTCTGTTTCATTAAAACCACTGCCAGAAGCCGGGCGGTGGTGGCGCACGCCTTTAATCCCAGCACTCGGAGGCAGAGGCAGGCGGATCTCTGTGAGTTCGAGGCCGGGCTGGACCGATAGCCTCCGAAACAATGCAGAGAAACCCTGTCTCGTAAAAACAAACAAACAAACAAACAAACAAACAAACAAAAACCACTGCCAGAATTGGGAATCTGGTGGTGATTTAATGGAAGAATTCCTCTGGTACTGTTTCATTTAACTATGAGAAAGAGTTAATGTTTTAATAATGTGATAAATTAGGCACAGGTTCTCTGGTTGATTGGTTTTGGTGGTAAGGTTTGAACCTGAGCTCTAGAACATGTTAAACCAATGCTCTTACTGGAGCTATACCACTGACCCCACAATTTCTTACTTTTATTGTTATAAAGAGACTGTTATGCAGTTTTCTCTGTGAGATCTTCCTTAGACATAAATCTGTAAATGGCAGTGTTAGGACACAGAACCAAGTAGACATTTAAAAGACAATCTAATATTGACAGCTCAGTCCTGGACACATACACATGGAGGCAACACTGACCAGACACAGCAGGGATGCATTATATGTTGATTTGTGTATAAGTAACAACAATGGTTAAGAAGAAGCCATGAACCTGGGAAGGGGAGAGAGGAGGGAGAAGGATATAATGGCATTTTATTTATTATTTTTTGTTTGGTTTTTAGAGACAGGGTTTCTCTGTATTGTTTTGGAGCCTGTCCTGGAAGTCGCTCGGTAGACCAGGCTTGGTATCGAACTCACAGAGATCCACCTGCTTCTGCTTCCCGAGTGCTGGGATTAAAGGCGTGGGCCACCACTGCCCGGCAACATTTTAATTTAATAAAACTATTTTTACAAATATAAGTGTTTCTTTATTAATTCTTGTGATTGGAGATTCTAATAGACTCACTGCTTCTTGATTCTGACAATATTCTACCCCCTTGCTATTAGTTTGCATCTCATGGTAAGTGTTATATTGTACTATCTGGGTTTCTTTTATAGGCTGGCAGTTACTGGATTTTAGGTCCAATGTCACTAACTTTATAGAGTAGTGACTTTTTTTAGCATGACATTCATTAGGATGCTATAATCACTATGTACTCTTTTATCTTAAAATTAGCAGATGACCGGGTTTATGTGATCTCAACTTTTTACAATAAAAACCCTTCAAGTTGAACTGGAGAGATGGCTCAGAGGTTAAAAGCACTAGCTGGTCTTCCAGAGGTCCTGAGTTCAATTCCCACCAACCTCGTCGTGACTCACAGCCATCTATAATGAGATCTGGTGCCCTATTCTGGTGTGCAGGTGCACATGCATGCAGAACACAGTATAATAAATAAATAAAATCTTTAAAAAAAACTTTATGTAGACAAAAACAGAACAATGAATTCCCACATACCCACACCTACCTCAACCCTGTCATCCCAGCCAGTCATTTTTTTAACCCTCCACTGATCCAGCCCTTCTACCCTCTAAAGCAGTGGTTCTCAACCTTCATAATACTGAGACCCTTTCATGTAGCTCCTCATGTTGCGGTGACCCCCAGCCATAAAATTATTTTTGCTGCTACTTCATAACTGTAATTTTGTTATTGTTAGGAGTTGTGATATAAATATGTTTTCCGATGGTCTCAGGTAACCACTGTGAAAGGTTCGTTCGAGGGGTTGAGACCCACAGGTTGAGAACAGCTCCTCTAATGCTATAAAAGCAAAATCTGGGTGACTGAATCTCATCTCAGTCTGTGATTTTGAAAAGATAAATGTATGTCTGTTCCACCTGTGTATTTGCGTGATACACACACACAAATATACACTAACATGTATATAATCATGTCTTTAAAAATACTTCCTAATGTCAAGCATTCTATTTATTTGCAATAAGACCATAACCATTATTGTTACTAATTTCAAAAACTAATTCTGCATGTTGTTGGACACTAATCTAAAGTGATTGCTTTTCCTGTTACTGCTTGAGGAGCTCTGGTGACATCTTGGCCTCTGCCTCTCTCACCTTTTTCTCTCACTTTTCAAGACAGGGTTTGATGGAGTGAACACTGTCCTTGAGCTTCTAATCTTCCTGCCTCCACCCCACCTCCCGAGGACTCAGATTGCAGTCATGCACCAACACACCTGTTTCATGCGGTGGTAGAAATGGAAGCCAGAACTTCGTGCATGCTATGCTAGCACTGTAGCAGCTGAGCTACTTCCCCAGGCCTTGACTCCCATGTGTACTGAAGCATAACATCTATTGCTTTTATATAGAAACAAATTCCCACTTGTTTTCCTCTGTATGGTGTTTTAAGTCCTAGATTGATTTGAGTTCCCGTGCAGGAGGAAGGGAATAGTGATTCACAGTGACTTGAAGTTTGTCTTTGCTGTTCCATGTGCCTCTGTATCCAAGAGTTTTCTTTTCATGGGCTGAGGAAATGGACCAGTGGATAAAGTGCTTGACATGCAAGCATAGGGACCGTATCAAATCTCCAGAGCCCAGGTAAAGCCATACAAGCCAGATTATAGGTGTAGCAGCTGGAACCAGTGAGTTCAGCAAGAGCGCCTGATTCAGTAGAAGAAGCAGAGAGCAATTAATGAACACACCTGTGAGAGCCTCCATCCATGCACTCAGGATACACTCATCCCATTTACACATGTACCCATACACAGACATGAATGCACATCACACACAGAATAAAATCTCCTTAGTCAAAATTACCCCAAATAGTACAGATTAGGATCATGTGGAAGATAAAAGGAAATGTGTGTTTAAGAACTCTTAAAATGTTTCTGAGATGGTTGGATTTATATTTTAATATCAGACGGTATCAGTAACAGTTAAATGATACAACTTGAGATTTTGTAGGTCATCTACTGTAGTGGTTTGCAAACTTAAATAGTGTATCATAAATCCTAGGAGGCTTATTATAGCAATAATGGTAGCCAGCCTTGGAGTTGCCAGTAGGTTTAGGGCTGGGCTTGAGAAATTACTTTTTTTCTAGTAGTGACATTTGTTCTTTTACACTTTAATACCTCATACATATACACTCAATATTTTTGGTCCCTCCTTTTTGTTGTTGTTTTTTTTCAATTTTTGTTTGTTTGTTTGGTTGGTTGATGGTTTTTTTGGCCCCTCTTTCTTCCCACTCGCACATTCTCCCATTTTCCTCTAGGTCTTATCAGCACCCCTCTATAAATCTCTTTTCCCTATTTATCATTTATTTTATTTTGCTGTTTTGTGTCTCATGCCAAGTTTAATCAGGACTGTCTGTGTAATCTTGAATTTAGAACCAACCATCAGATCCTACTGGACTTACAAGTTGGTACACAATTTGATAGCATGTTTCTCCCGTACTCCTAGAATCTGTTGTTTGCCAGTACATCAGCAGTATGTCCCTTCTGCCTTCATAGCTGACCATTAGGAGGGTTCCAGTTTGGTGGACCCTGTGCCAGATGCTCAGCTGCTGTGAGTTTATGGTTCTCGAGAACATCCCACTTAGAGAAGGGTATTTTGCAGCCCCTCCTCCATCCTCCAGCTCTTAGATTCCCTCGTCTTTCACAATGTTTCCTGAGCTTTAAGAAAGTGGTATCAATGTTTTGTCTGAGATTTCAACAGTCCTTTATTCTCAGCATGTTGTGCAGCCATGAGTCTTTGCCTTTATCTTCATTCACTGCAAGGAGAGGCTTCTCTTTCAGGCTGAGGGTAGACTTTCCCCTAGATATATAAACATAGATGTTGGTGAGAGTGTTCCATGCTATGTCAGTTCATCTAAGCCATCTTAGGTGTTGTTCCCCCCCCCACTCAAGTCAAAAGTTCCTGTGTGATGCTGGTGCTCTTTGTCCAGTGAACAGCTGTGCACATGGCACAATCCTTTTTCTCCCTCCTTCCATTGTAAAAAAAAATTCTAACTAAGCTGACAGGGATTATCTGCTGTAAACTGTTTAGTGGCATAGATATAGCAAGTTCAGAATCCAAAAGTCAAAAGGTCATTTTTACACCCTCAGCCCCAAGTTTTTCTTATAAATTTACTTTCTTTGGAGTGGTTGACCGCAAAAGCTTTATTCTTAGGCTCCTCTGCATATTTGAGGGCTTTTTGTCTTTGTTTTTGTATGGGGGTCAGTTTTTGTCTGCCTAGAACAAAAGATTCTACTATAGGAACCAAAATAGTTGCAGTTAAAAGGAAGGGTAGAACAGTAAACTGCTTGTCATGCAATTGTGAGGATTTAAGTTCAGTCTCCTAAAAACACATTTTAAAAAAAGGCCCAGCTCAACTGTTCAAAACTATAATCCCACATCTGGGAGGGGAAGATAGCTGGATCCTGGGGATTTGCTGGCCAGACAGTCTTACCTGAATCACTGAATTTCAGATTCTGTCTTCAGAAAATAAGCTAGAGAATGATTGAGGAAGATGCTCTGCATCAGCCTCTGGCCTCTTCACACATGTGTAA